TTTTTTATATTTTTATTAAGTGCACTTCACTAAGATGTACAAACACTCCAAATTTAAGATCATTCTGATTAGTAAAAAAAAAATTGAAAATTGAAACACTACCAAACAACTATGACCGTGCGATAAAATTTAGATGGTGAAGAGGGTAGACGAAATCACCGTTCATTTTCGCCTATAGACGTTTTGTAGTATCTTTCATCTATATATATATGTGTATGTATGCGCGTGTGTGTATAAAATAGGGATAGAGAAAGTACAAAATTCCATCCATTCAAGCACGTCTGCGAGCAAGTACACCAAAATTTTCTCAGTTGTGTGAGGAATAGAAAGTTCATAAAACAATTTAGCTTAATTCAAAAAATGGCACTGGTTGCTTGGCTTTAATATCAAAAACCAAATTTAAAACCTCCAACCTTAGCATCAGTAACTGAGTCCCAAAATGATATCGATTTTTTCTCTTTGGATTGCTTCTCTTGAATAAGTCGTTGAATGGAACCTGGAAAAGCAGCTTCATATGCACTCCTAAACTTCTCATGCAAATTGACTCTATCTCTAGTCCCTGAGACCAGTTCTTTCGCATTGGGCTTCTTTAGGAAGTCCAAAACGTTCAACAAATTTCTCCTGAAAATCCCAAATCAAACACCAAACATGATAAATGAACCCTGATTTTACTTTTAATAAGAAAATGCTTTCTTTCTCTCTCTCCCCACACACAATAAAAATTCCAGTTATGGCCTTTGTGTAAATGCATGCAGCCATACATGCGTCCACATGCAGGATGCTGTCCTGACGAAGAGGATGCTGTCCTGAGAAATATGATCGCATGCATAGAGAGAGAGCGGTGCCACATGTATAACTATGATTGTGTGTTTGTGGGGGCAGAGAGAGATATCACAATAACCAGGAAAATCATGAAGAAACCAACATAGTACTTGAGAAAATAATAATAACATAATAAAGGAGAAAAAAAGGAAAGACTTGAACAAAAAACCTAGAGCTTACCACATGGCCTAGACTAAAGCTACTTAAATTGTGAAAGAATTTTCAGAAATTGTGAAAGAATTTTCAGAATGAAATTAATGTTGAGATAAAATGAATAGGTGGTTTCACAGAAGGAAGACCGAGCTAAATCAATTTAACAGTTTTGAATCGAGCCAATATATCGAATCCAATCTGTGATAGGAGCCCAAGCTAAGGTTCCCTAGAGATGTCTCAAGTTGGCATTAGACAAGGTAGCGGCAGCCTTTGCCAGAGAATCAGTCTCACCATTTGCTTCTCTCAAAACGTGATTCCACTAGATGTGTAGATTCCTTGAGAGATGACAGATTTCTTCGAAAATACTGTCCTGCCTCCAAAGCCAAAGGGCAGTGCCTGAGGCCCAGGTTATAACACTGTAAGAGACGCCTTCAATGGTAACATACTGCCTCCAGCTAGTATCTAACATCCTGAGGCCTTCCCGGAGGGCAAAGGCCTCTGCAATAGTTGAATCAGAGACACCAATGGGAATAGAAAAGGAGCAAAAGGTATTGCTGTTGTGGTCGCGGAACAAGCCACCTATGCCTACAAGGCCTGGATTTCCGAGAAAGCACCTGCCAAAGTTGAGTTTGATGTGGCCTACTTCAGGTGGTCTCCAAAAGGAAGAGCGTGGGGGCCTTTGAGGTTTGAAGGAAAGAATGGGAGTCCAGCTGTGTAGGAAATCAGAGTGGCAAAGATTTCTGAAGTGTTTGTGGTGGGTGGCCTAGAAGATGACAGCTTCTTTGATCTTTTCTACTAGTGCATTCAAAGAAGATGACTGGCTTCGAAAAATTCTTGCATTTCTCTCAGGTCCAGATAGTTCAAAGAGTGGCAGCCACAGAAGCTTGCCACAGCATTGTGCCAGCCTTAGGCCATGTGGTTGAGAAAGTAGAGCTGATGAGATGAGGCACATCAGGTAGCGTGACCCACTGCCGTTGGAATAGCTGAAGGATGTTAGCCCAAATAGCTGAGGCGAACTTGCAACGGATGAAAAGGTGGGCATTGGTCTCCTCATCTTCAGTGCATAGGATGCATCTGTTCACATCTTCAAGGTAGGATCCCAACACAGATGGTGGACATAAGCCGCATACATCATGCCATGATCAAGAGAGCCACGGATAATCTCACTGTCCATGCTACGGATCCAATAGTTGATAACGAGACACACAAATCCTGTATGACACCCATCCTTCATGGCAATTTCTCGTTTTTTTGATAAAAACAAGAAAAAAGAAAAATCAATTTAACATTTTGAATGGTATAAAAATGATTTTTCCTTTCTTTTTCAGGTATGTTTTTTTTAGAAATATGGAACCCAAAATTTCCCCCTCAAACTTCCTTGGAAAGAAGCGAAAAAAAAAAAAAAAAAAAGCCAAAACGCCCACATGAAAGTAAAGGGAAAGTAATTATCTTTATTTTTTGAAAATAAAAACAAGTAAATTGATTATAAAGAGGACATGTAATTTAAGGAAGGAAAAATATGTTTTCCTTGCATTCTTAAAAACATCAACTGTGTATTGAGATATCATTAAAAAGAAAGGGCATTGCCCTTGACACCTAGTCCCTGATAGGGAAGACGTTGAAAGGTCGGCATTTTATTAGAGCATGACATCCCTACAATTATGATCATACTGCTTAGTATTGCAGATTTGTAAGCCTTCTGGGTTAGTGCAGGTTTGGCCCCTCCCGCTGCCCATGGCAAAAGCAAAATTAAAATAGGACAGTTACAACAATAGAGAAGGCCTTAATAAATTATACAGGCGCACTACTAAGTTGAAAAACTTTCCAATTACCTTCACTCCATGTTCCTACAGTATAATTTTGATCCTTTGAGCATTTTTTGGCATGATCAGTTAACCATATGAATAATTTTCTCTCAGAGTAGGTGCATAATACATTTCTTAATTACAGCCTTCTCAAGATTCTCTAATGCCTCCGACTTCCCTGATAAGTGCCCTAGGGGTAATGGTCATAATGGACTCTACTTAAGCCCCTCATTGTGGGATATAACATATCCAAATAATGTACCTTTCCTCTCCACCCACAGGCGCTTGAAGAGTTGAAGGTAGCTAAAGATGAATGTTCCATTCACCAAGTCAACCAAACTATGACAACCTTCATCTGTCCGTGATATGAAATTACGACCTTCATGTGTACATGATATTAAATAGAGCATTTCATTAGTCAGGAGTGAAATCATGTGTGTTGTATGGCTGCACCAAACTATGTGACCACTCTTCTACAATAAGGCCCAGTTAGGATAGCCAACTAAACGTGACTGCTACTATTATTTCATACAGTTATGAGAACTTTTCTGCAACACCATTTTTCCTTTCCATTTCTGAACCCTGTTTGAGTGAAAGACACCACAAACTACTGCACAAACTGACTAGCGTAAAAAACAAAAAAGGGAAAATATCAAAATAAAAATAAAAATAAAAGATGGACAACTCAACATTTTACCCATGTTTCTTTATTTAATTTCAAAATGCCCATAAAAACACATGATCTTAAGTTCAAATAGTTGCAAATGGGTAAAATGTTGAAGTTCATCTCTCATAGGTATTTTGATTAATTTCCCCAAAAAAAAAAAAAGCTGATTTCTTTGGTTTATGGTCTGTGGTGCACAAGAACACACCTACTCTGTCAGTCCACACTCGGATTAAGAGTTTGGTCCAAATGCATACAAATACAAATCCTCTCAACAAGTATGGTTTGAACTGAAAGGACAATTCAAAAGACATACATTTTTAATTCTTTTTCACAATGCTAGTATATCAAACTTGAATTTAGTTGGTCTCCCTAGTTTATTGGTGGAGGATGTTTCACAAAGGAGCATAGGAACAAGCTATTTTGTGTTCAATTCTCCTGCTTTGAATTCTAGACCACCATAAAACTACCACAAAACGATCATAATAGATGTAATAGGCGGCATTGACTGGAGAAATATGCTTATCATTTTTTATTTTATGTTTTTGACAGAAACTATGCTTATCAGTTCGATAGAACACTTTTCACTCAAGAAAAAGACCTATGGGTGATCTTGATAACTTCAGGAAACTATCAAAACTTGTACAGTTCTACCACGCCATAGCCGGAAAACAACCATTACCCTACAAAGAATTTTTGTGCCTCATATGCCTTATACTGACACGATATGGCCATGTCTCAGTGGAGGATCCCCCTGATATCCACAAAGAAAATAACTTTCAGTTCAGAGTGCAAAGTGCAGACTCATCAACTACACCTAAGCACACATGTTTAAGGCTCTACAACTTTGAGTTGTCAATTGTCGGTTGTGTCACGGGTCACTTAGATGATACCTACTATTATTACCATGGAGGATCAAAAGAAACCATAAGGAAATTATTAAAGGTTTTGCTTTTTGATGGGATACTAATGGCAGGATTTAGTTCAAGTTGTTTAAAATATAATGATGCACTAGCAGACAAGAATGCATATAACTAGACAATGTAGTGAAAAAACTTGAAATTGAATCTCATCCATTAGATTCCAATCCTCCAATCCCCTCATCAGCTAATTCAATCCATCATCTCAAATTCTAATTGAATCAAATGTAAATGGTATGAATCTTTCTAGTTTTGGCTAGATGACAAATGCATACACTTCTTTTTTAAGTGATAACATGCGCATCCGTTAGAAACAAAATTACACAAGAGATCAGTGTTTTACAACTAGCAGATAATCAAGCATTAAAACATCCATCTTGGCATCAACAGTTAGGCATGATCAAAATTAGTGAAAATAAGTGAAGGCATATCATAGGCAGTTGGGTTTCAATCAAAACAAGCAAAACCAAAACCCCCAACCCAAAAATAAATTAATAAATATAGATAGATAGATAGATAGATAGAGAGAGAAATAGAGAGTTAAAAATATAAGCTAAGTTACATGTTGAGATTGAGATCTAATCACCTGCTCACATAATTCTGAGTAATGGCAATGGACTCCTCTAGATTGATCACAAGATGCCACCACCCATTAGGCACAAAGATCACTTCTCCAGCCTTACAAACACATTCCACAGGCCTCCTCTTCCATTTCTTTGTTGCCCCATAAAAATTCATGAACCACTCCATTATAGAAACAGGGCAAGCCACTTCAGCTCCATCAGGGCTAGGATGTACACCAGGCGGAACCACATCAGGAGGAAATAAAACCCACTTCTTAGATCCTCTAATTACTGCATTCCAAGCTGAAGTAGAATTTGGGTCTATATGAAATGAAGAACCAGAACCAGTAGAGCCAATTATAAGCCACCTGTAATCTGGCCTTTCGGGCCCAAGAAGTGAGAACAAATCTTCGCTAAAATAATCAGGGACCTTATAATCGGCTGAAAGCTTGGGAATTTTCTCTCCAAATTTAGGATCAAATAAATATAGTGGTCTTTCTTCCTTGACATTATCAGCATACCTAAAGTAATCACTTAGTTTCATTTCTACAGGCCCTGCTGAAAAAGCGACATCACCTGAAACCTCTAAGAGATAATCTCTGATCCACTTCTCCATGGCTGGCCAATTCTCCAATGCATTGGCCAAAATTACTGGTTTATTAGGCTCTTCATAGAGAGTAATAAACTCTTCAACTGAGATTTTACTTTTTCTATCTACATTATCAATAGCTAGCCATTCTGGTTTCATTGCAAGGTTTGCACAAAGCCAGCTTTGGAAGAGATAATCAGAGTAGAAATCTCTTATTTTTGGAGCAAAAGATGAAATGGGTATTGGAAAACAAGGACACAATGATAAAATATAAGTGTTTTTCCAAGACCCAACAAAAGAAAACTCACCTTTGAGGTGTTCAAGGACCAGTTCTCTCCAAAGGGGTTCATGGTTGGAGAATACATAGAAAGCTTTGCTCACTACAGACAGAAAGCTCAAATCTTTGGCACCCAAAAGGCCCAAGATATCAACAATCAATTCATCAGTGAGAACATAGAGAGCTCCTAAGCCTGTGTGTCTTGAGTTGGCGGAAGAAGCATTTAAGAGAAGGTTGCCTAATGGTTGGACTCCATGGCTAAGTGAATGATTAGCTTGCAAGCTGAAACCATGGGCTGGGTCTCCTAGGTCGTCTTGTTCAAGAGTGTAATGGCCATTCTGGCTTTCTCGAGGCTCTGATTTATTCTTCTTCTTCTTCTTTTTGTGCTTGGGTTTATGGGTGGAGAGCTTGATTTCAGTGTGGGTTTTGCTTTTCATCGTTCTTCAGAGGCTGAGATAAAATCTTCAAGACTTCAATGAAGGGATATCTAAAGTCGCCTCAAGATCTCTCTCCTTCGCCCTCTCTAGGGACATACGCAGTGAGTCACGAATTCTCTCACTTTCTACAGTTGTCTCATTAGATCTCTCTCTCTCTCTCTCTAGGGGCCCGCCTGTTCTCAATCGCACGCGCTCTCTAACTTGGGGTCGCAACCGGTCGGGTCCAGCCGAACAGACACAGAACCGGAAAAAATAATATGGGACTTTGACCCATACCCAATTGGACCCAACTGGACCTTGATCCAGATCCGATTGAACCAGACAGAAAACTAAAAAATATATATATTTAATGAGATTTTAATTATTATTTTAAATAACGACCCCTAATCTAACAAAGCAATGACTCAGTCGAGTCCAGATCCATTACCTCTAAAAGTTATGAAACACCTACAAAAAAGATTTTTTTTATTTTAAAAAATTACAAAAAAAAAAAAACCAAAACTATACTTTCTATGTAACTTACCCTAACCTAACATTTTTTCTTTCACTTTTTTCTCATAAAAAACTTTCTATGTAAATACCTCAAGGGAAAAAGTTCATTTTTTAAATGGAAATACTTTTTTTTAACACAAAAATCATTTTTGCCAGATTTGACATTGACTTTTTGATCTAGTAGCACATTAATGGAGCGCCCAAGTGCTGGGACTGCCTAAGACAACTACCAAATCAAAACCGGACCGTCTTTTAGATAGTGTCGGGACCCTAGAATCTAATAACATCTATTGGATCATCCATTGCAACTGCTAGACTGCACTTAATACAGTGCCGGAGCCCTACTTCTAGACTATACTTTATATAGTGTCGGAGCCCTACTACAGATCCCATATCCCTACTCCAAACTTCACTTACACAATACCGGAGCCCCTATGTTAGTGGGATAGAGGAAAGAGGTGGGTGAGTAAAATAAAAGTAACGGAGGGTAGTGTGGCCATTTATTTTTATTTGGTTGGGGGTGTTTGCATAGAAAGTGTACTTTTGGAAAAAAGTAAGAGAAAAAGTTAGGTTAGGGTAAGTTACATAGAAAGGGTAGCCTTGGGGTTTTTTTTGTATTTTGTATTTCTTTTTCATGAAAACACCCCAAAGAAATCTTATTTGAGAGAAAAATATACGGAAAATATCTTATTATTCTTTATTTTTAACTTTTATATCTCATAAGATCCAAAAATTAAAAATATTACTTATAAGCAAAATGACTCTATCTTTTATATCTTCCAACTTTCAAAACCCTTTTCATCATGTATTATTGACCTCAACAACTTATGAAATGACTCTATATCTCTCTCTAAAACCCATCTCTATCTCACATCATCGTCTCTCTCTATCAAAACTCCATCTCTCTTCCTAAAACTCAAACTCTATCTCTCTCCAAAACCTAAACTCCATCTCTCTCTTTCTCTTTAAAACTTCATCTCTCTCACACACATAAGGAGGTACGCTCGTGTTCGAGCTCAAACTCAAGCTAAACCCCTTGGCTGGTAAACTCACCTAGACGCAAAGAGAGAGAGATGGAATTTTAGTGTTTGTTCGGGTAAAAAATTTATGGTTAAAAGGGTCCAAGGGGTTGTAAGATATAAAAGATGAAGACTTTTTGTTTACAAGTAATATTTTCAATTTTTTGGTCTCATGATATATGGAAGTTAAAAATAAATGATAAAGAAATGTTTTCCAAAAAATATACTTGTACCCACACCCATTACTTTTTAAACCATGCTACTAATCTAAGTTTTTATATCGGAAAATTACAAAAAAGTCCCACTAGTATATTTTCTATGCAACTTACCCCAACTTAGCTTTTTCTCTCATTTTTTTTTCCCAAAAACAAAATTTCTATACAAATACCCCCAAGAGAAAATGTTCATTTTTTTAAAATGGAAATGTCATTCCCGTACACAAAAATCAATTTGGCCATATTTGATGTTGACTTTCGGACCCCATAACACATTGGAGCGCTGTGATTTTAGAGTGTTCCACTGCCAAACCGCACTTATACAGTGCTGGAGCACTTGATCCACTACCACACTGCACTTACACCGTGCCGAAGCCCTATTTTGCTGGAATAACGGAGAGAGGCGTGGGTAAGGTAAAAGTAAGGGATGGTAGTTTAGGCAATTTTTTATTTATTTTTTGGTTGGGGGTATTTACATAGAAAGTGTATTTTAGAGAAAAAAGTGAGAAAAGAAATTATATTAGCGATAAGTTGCACATAAATTGTAGGCTTGAGGTTTTTTATAATTTTTCCTATTTATTTTTACATCCAATGAGCGAACAAGTCATTTTTTATGATAAAAATACTAGTAATGCGTAATCCAGATTCATTTCCATTCCTTTACTCTTTAGTAGGGCTTTTAAATTTTTAGAGTTTCTCTCTCTAGATACTTGAAAATTTACATAACTTGAAATTTGATATACTTTATCTCTTTAAAAATTTTAAGATAGTTTCTCACTCTAAAATTTAAAACTCGAGATAGTTTATCTGTAAAATTTGAATTTTGAGATAGTTTTTCTTTCTAAAAAATTGAGATAGTTTATCAATTTAAAATTTTAAATTTCAAGCTTCTAGAGAGAGAAATTGTCTTACATATAGGGGGGGTATATTTTTGTATTAAAATATTACTTTTCTACTTTGTGAGTGGATGCAAAAATAATATAAGATTGCACATTTAAAACAATCCATACTGTCCATTTATTTGGACGTTGTAGATTTAACACTATCTTAAAAGATACGTCATTTTTTACACTATCTTAAAAAATATGTTAAATCTATACCTTCCAATTAAAATAGATGGTATAGAGCATTACAACCTTATTTGACTTTATACAAACCAGCACCCCATAAATACATAAACAGGTGTTTATAAGTCCTTGTACTCATATGTAGAATGCGGCCCCCTTAATAACTATGTTTTGAAAAAAAATGGAATTTTTTTTATATAAGGGCGCACTTCAAATATTCACTAGAAGACTTCGTTTTGATGCTGAAAAACCCTCATTTTGACTGTCTCACCCTCAAGATATATAAACGTAAAAAAAATAATAATTTCAACTATTGGAAACAATACATCTTGTAATGTATTATCTAGATCATCAATTTGCAAGATTTTAAAGTGTTCATAGATATGTTCAATCTACTTTGTTTTCTAATCTCGAGACTTTATAACTACAGATAATTTTTAGGCCATCATAAAGAATTTTGATACAAACCACACCCAATAAATTTTGCCAGATTTTATAGAAATATACAAATCCTTAACATGGAGATAAGCAAATATAGAAATGCATCCCCGGTAGCATAAACTAATTTTCTAAGTTAAACAGTATTAAGGTTAGTTGTGTGATGTCAAAAGTATTAAGAGATTGCATGTCTTAAAAGTGCTTTCACCAGGGTAACTATAATTTTCCCGAAGAATACCTAAAATCCCTCTCTCTCTAAAAAAAAAAAAATAGTAGGAAGAAAAACCCCTCAAAAGAAATTTTTTTTTGAGAGAAAAATATTCAAAATCTCACTTTATCTCTCTCATGCTTAACAATATTTTAAAAAATAGATTGGTGGGGCACATCGTACCCCCTCAATCCCGAATAGGATTGGTTGGATTGACAATTCAAACCGTGCTTGAATCCTCTGGACAAGTGTTCCAAAAAAAAAATTAAAATAAAATCTTATGGATTGAGAATTTAGGAGGACAAGAAATATATTAGACAAGCATAAAAAAAATGAAAAAAAAAATAAAAAAGAGTGTTTTAGGGGGAATCAAAGTAAGATTTGTATAATTTAAAGACAAATCCGATCCCTACCAATTCTGTATCCTAACATGCGACTCGGATTGAAAATCTGACCAGTGTCCTTCCAACGATAGCACGATATGGAATTTTACATTGGAAAGTCCGAAAAAACGCAAAACTTAACTTAAGGGGATACATACCATCATACCATGTACCTTTCAAATAAGGTGGTAACAAAATTGGCAGCCCTAGATCTTTAGAGATCATCTAGATTGGTGCCAGAGCAACTGGCTCTATTGGTTGAGGCAGGCGGTTGCTTATTATATTTTTCTGACCCGCTGCCTTAGCGCCCGTTTCTCTGGCACCGATCTGGATGATCTCTAAAGATCTAGGGCTGCCAATTTTGTGCCCACCTTTCAAAATAGTCTCATGCCATACATTCCCTATCGGGATAAAATGATACGTTGATTCTCTCATCCCCTAAAATCTCTCTTTCAAAAACTCTCTCATTTTTAGAAGATACCCTCTATTTCTCATGAAACTTGCCTCTGATTCGATACGTTGATTCTCTCACCCCCTAATCTCTCTCTTTCAAGAACTCTCTCATTTTTAGAAGATACCGTCTATTTCTCATAAAACTTGCCTCTGATTCCCACAAGAAATAGAGTTCCCCCATGTAATTTCAAAATGAGTAAGGAGGTGTTAATGGGTGGAAGCATAGGGTGAACTGGCGACAGATGAGAGAGAGGACGTTTTTAGATGATGAGTGAGAGAGAAAACCAATTTCATTCCCTCCATTGTGCAAGAACTAGAGAGAGAAAAACCCATATTACACCATCTAATTTTCAGTGAGAATTCCATGAAAGGTATTCTCTTCTGCCCTATTTTATTTGTTTATCTCTTTGTTTTTCTCCATGGTTTTATCCGGTGATGAATCCATAGATTTCCCTAGGTTTCCTCAATCTGGTTAATTTTTTCAAATAAACCCTAGAAAACTTTATTGGATGACCAGTGTAATCAAAGGCGATGTCTCTACTGAAAAACCTGAGCAATTTTGCTCTCACTAACTTGGGAAACGCTATCAAATTTTCTGTCTCTAGCATTGGACACCGTAGAAATTTTTCTCTGGATAGAATTGCTTCTACTGACCGTGACTCTGGAATGGGAAACCCTAGGTTTATCTCAACTGGAAACCCTAGGTTTATCCCAACGTCCACCACGACCGGAACAAAAAAGTCTAGACCAGTCTCTGTAAATCTTCTTGTGAGAAGCATGGCGTCTATAATTCAAAACACTGATCAATGGAATACCTCTCTTAACATTCTCTGTGATACTTCCTCCTCGAATCTCACTCCCTCCATTGCTGTTCAAGTCTTGAAACGCATAAGGAAACCCAACATTGCGTATGGTTTCTTTGAATACTTGGATCGAAAGAACGATTTTAACCACGATTCGTTAACTTATTCTGCAATGATCAAAGTCTTAACCAAAAAACCCAACCTCTCAAACACTCTTTTAGCTCAAAATTTGCTACATAAGAAGATTGAATTAAGGTTTGAGATGTTTGCTGCTGATTTTGACTTTGTGTTGAGCTCATGGGTTCAAGTGAAAAAGGTCAATGAGGCTTCCAAGCTACTGGCTCAAATGGTTGATCATGGCTTTATTCCCGGTATTTCTACCTGCAATGAGGTTCTGAATCTTCTGTTCAGTTATAAGCGTTCCGATTCAGGTCGTGAGCTTTTCTATCAAATGCTCGAAGGCAAAATTGGAGAATTGGATACTCAAAGCTTCAATATAATTATGAGAGAGTATTGCAAAGATGGAAAATTTGCAGAGGCAATCGAGCTTTTCCATCTGATGAGAGAAAAAGATTATACACCAGATCTCAACACTTATAATACTCTGATTCATGGTTACTGCAAAGTGGGTGAGGGCGAAAGGGTCTGTGAGCTCGTGAAGCAAATGCTTGATATGAGAATTCGACCTGATAGTTACACCATGAGTATTCTCATCAAGGAGCTTTGCAGGCAAGGGAGGCCAGAGAGTGGAAACCACTTATTCAATCACATGAGAAGGGTGGGTTGGATTGATAAGAAATTTGTGTACACCCAACTGGTTCAGTCTCTATGTGACTATGGCTGGTGGTTAAAAGCTTTGAAAATATTCAAGAAAATGGTTAGAAGAGGCCACCACCCTGATCAATTTCTTTATACGAATTTAATCGGAAGGCTCTGTGTAGGTGGTAGAACCAGAGAGGCCCTGCAACTTAGGAATTTAATGGCTGAGAAAGGGTGTATAGAAGATATTGATAACTATAAAACATTGATTAGCGGAGCATGTAGGGCTGGTAAAATGGAAATGGCTGAGAAGGTCTTTAGAGAAATGGTGGATATTGGCTGCAAGCCTGATCTATGCATCCTGAACATAATCCTCAGAGGGCATTGTCTAAAGAGAAACATATCAGAAGCTTTAGGCTGGTTAGAGAAGATTCAAAAACTGGGCTGGAAGCCTGATAAAGAGTCATTCAAGGTCTTGATCCAAGTTCTTTCCATTGAGGGAATGGTTGATAAGGCATTACAGTTGAAGAATCAAATGATGGGGGTTTCAGATATTGATTCTGAAGTGTATTGTGTCTTGATTGAGCACCTCTGCAAATTGGGTTCTATGGATCAAGCCACTGGTCTGTTGGATGAAATGGAAATAAGGGGAATTAGTCCCATTAAACCTGCTTATTATCCAGTGATTAAGGGGTTTTGTCAGATGAATTTTTTTGGAAAAGCCCTGAGTAGAATTAGAGAGATGATGGACAGAGGGGTTGGCCCTGATATCCACACTTATAATTGTTTGATAGGGTCCCTTTGTAGCAGGAATAGATTACAAGAGGCATTAAAACTATGGGAAGATATGGTGAGAGATAGATGTTCTCCTGATGCCACTACTTACTCTTTGGTAATTAGCAAGTTTTGTGAAGATGGAGACATGAAGGAGGCAGATCGAATGATAGATGAGATGGTGGAATGTCGTCTGAACCCTGATAAAGCTATATTTAGCTCTTACCTCATCAAATTATTTAGTGAAGAAAAGTTTCAGGTCGTACCTCTCTTTTGATTTTTTTAATCCATAGTCGATTATCAACAAATAAGGAAAAAAAATATTGAAGTGTATCTGCTGTTATGCGCTTCATGGTAGATAATGAACGAGATACAGTTTGTTTTGATAAAAGTTAAGCAGTGCTGTAGCTTTTTATAGAATTAATAGCCAAATTGACATGTGGTGTTTTTTATAGCCCCACTAATGGTATCACTTTCAATAGAGCAAAATGTCGGACTAAAATTCGTGTAGCCAACCCCAGTTAGTTGGGAAAAGGCTTTGACGATGATGATTGACATGTGGTGCTTTTGATTATTTGCTTATTTTGTTTAGCAGTTGTGTTTAAGGGAGATGTGCTATGTTCAAGTAGCCGGTCGTTCCTTTCCTATCTTGCATTAAAAAAAGAAGAAAGAATCCAGGATTTTGCCTTGATGCCTTCAGAGCTGATCTGTGCTTGTATTGTATATTGAATCCTTGATTTCAGTTTTACTTTGTGTATTCTTTGTGCACATAGTTGCCTTAAATATTAGGTTATATTATTTCAATTGTTTGCTCTTTAAATTATTCTCCATGGGAACTGAATCCAATTTTTCTCAATAAAGGCCTTCTTCCCCTACTGTTATTATTTTCAAGTTCCCATCATCGTACCTTGCCATTGCATTTACCAGAATTTGTCAATAATTTAACCAGTTTTGCATCTCCCTCCCTCCCTCCCTCCCTCCCTCCCTCTTGATACTCTATCTTAATATCTTCTATGTTTAAATAAGTTCTGAAAGTCCAGACCTTTTCTCCTCCAAGAATGAGTGGCCAACTATCCTCTAGCCACATTGTGGAATATCTGAAACATTTATATCAGAAGCTAAAACTGATTTTCTTTCACGCGATGAGTGGATGTTCTTTTAATGCCTTGCTCTTTGTATTCAGTTTTGTCTGGGTTTGTGAGAATACAAACATTCATATGTGCATGATTGGTTCAGTTTATTGTCTGGGTTTGGGAGAATACAAACATCCATATATGCATGAATGGGATGAATGAAATCATTCTAGTCATATACATACACATGTACAGCCAATCACTACACAGTCACACTCGTATACAAGTATTCCATGAACTTTTAAACATCGAGCAGTTTAATGTTTGCTGTCTGAAGTATGAAAAGTCATGATTGCACAATACAGTTTGGGATGCCCAAAACCTGGAAGTGGATCTCTCTCTGTGGTGCCCTAAAACTAGAAAATATAGGGTATAAGAGCCTTTCTCTCTCTAGGGAAGTCCTTGAATTGAGAGAGGTACCATTTCCTTGTAGCATAGCTTCTTCCCATCAAATAACTAATGGTGCCCAATGTGGTGGCCAATGAATAGGGTGTTTGAGCAATGAAGGTAACGCCCACAAAGCCTAGTATTTCAAAGAGATAGTGTGGGCAAACTACAAGGCCAAACAGTCCACCACTAGGGATCTTGTAGCCATCACTTTGGTTCTTTCTAAGCTTTGACAGGAGACAGTGGTGGTAAGAGTTACCAGTGATTCCCAACAAAAAGAGAGGAACACCAATGTACTTCAAATCAAGGGCAAATTGGGGGAGGGTGAGGTATAGAGAGTAGATCATGGTGATTGAGGAGAGGAAGTAGCTGAGAAAAACAATGAAGCATGTGTCCGGGGTCATGCCTCCACTGTACCGATGTACAAACAGTACCTAGAATGAGACAACAACATCATGTTAGGTAGGAGATGATTTCATGCAACGATTGTATAGGAATATGATGCAATAACGTTCAAAAACCATATTATAGCCATTTGTTCGATCCAAAATTTGAAATATACACTCTTTTCATTCTAATGAACAATCACAAAAAAGAAAAATTTGAAAATACAACTTAGAAAGTATTTTTTTAGCCCAATCAACATAGGCCGTTCATTTTGGTGAGATGCTTAGATCTAGGCCTTAGAAAGAATTTTTTCATTTCCAATTTTTTTGGATGGCTTTATTGTTATTAAATGAACAATTCGAGAAAAGGAAAAAATGATTTTGAGATTATAAAGGTTAAGATCTTGAAATTCACTAAATGAATGGTCTAGATTGGGACTTGAAGAGAGAGAAAAAGAGGGGGGGATAGAGAGTACTGTCTGATGATGTATATGAACTTCACTAGCCGGCATTGCATGCTATAAATTTTTTCTAAAAAAATAAGTTTGAAATCAAATCGATTGAAATTTTACACACATGTTGGAACTATCTAGGGGCTCAACAAAAAAAAGAAAAAAAAGGAAAAAAAAAGAAATAATTAGCCCCCAAATGTGTCTGCCCTTCTCAGCCATCTAAATCGTCTCATCTCCTTCTATCTAGGCCGCCTGGCCTATATTGCTCTATATGCCCGGCGACCTGTAGAATATATTTATCTTATGTGTATGACACCGAGAGACAGAGATGGACAATAGGACAGAGAAAGAGAGGGGCCATGAATATTGTTCACGGATTAACCGGTGAGTGTGTGAGATAGAGATGAATTCCAAGAGAGAGAGAAAGTCTGAAGATTGACCATGGATTAGCATGTCCTCGTTGGATCCCAAATAGCTTAAACTAGTTACTGCATCAAAAGTTCTAAACTACTATGAATCTCAAACACGCACATCAACAGTGAAAATAAAAAGAATAAAGCAGCCATACAAAATTCTATTGAAATGCACAAATCAAGAAATCTTTTAGACAAGAGTCTGGCCCAACCCTAATGCATAGTTATCAAAACGACGCTGGACCACCTCATTCCGCTCAAATCTGGTTTTGTTAAAAGTATGTGATTAATTTTGGCTGATCAGCGACTTTTGACAAGTTTGCCAAACAAATATGAGAAATTTCTTTTTAATATATTTTATAGTATTAAACTATTATTTTTATTATTTTTATATTTTTTTTAAATATGCTTGTGAAACCCAATTTTAATTGAACGAGGCCCTTGGCTAAAAAAAGATAAACTAATAATAATGATAAACTAAAAAGAAAAATAAAACTATAAAAATCGGTACTTACCTCGACAACTCTCTTGCAGAAATGAAGAGCCAGGGCCGAGCTCAATAACAACGGCCTCAGTTGCCACTCGCTGAACCCAAAGGAAACTATGGAAGCAACAATAGCAGGTGTGTACAACATAAGCATCCCATTTCGACTGCTTATTGAATTCTCTCTCTTCGGATTCTTTTCTGGATTCGATCTCCAGAATTTGGAGTAATTCATGTGCTTGCCTCTCCAATTCCACTGCTACACAGAGAGATGAAGCCAACAAAAGACAGTGTTGACAAACAACGACGGCGGGGGTGGAAAGAGAAACTTTAGGGAGAGTCATTTCAAGTTCAAGCAAAAAAAACTGTGATCTCAGGTGGGGTTTCTGAATTTTCCGGTGGTTTCTGAATTTTCTGGTGAGTCTTCTGAACTTTCTGGTGAGTTTCTTTTTCTATGGAGTGGTTATCGGTTAGATTTCATTATGCTTTTGTAGCCATGTATCCGGAATGACGTGAACTTATCCGTGACTCATTTCAAACCTCTCCGTTTTTGGAGCCTCGAATTCATGATATAAAGTTCCGCCTCTCTCTCTCTTTTAGTTTCTCACCCGTGGTTTAAAACTCGGGTAGGCCGGTTTGGAAATCCAGTTTGGATGGACAAATGGTCGGTCCGGATCAGCAAAACAGACCGTTTCTTGGTTCAATAATTGGTCCATCAACATAAAAAAAATATGCCAACAAAAATATAATGCGTGAGAATTGGGTGATTTAGTCGGTACAAATTGATTGTGGACGATTTGCCCAGTTTCTTGATAGAACAAGATAATTTCAAGGAAATATCAGACTAATTCTTAGTTTCAACAGATTGAATCGGCAATTATTTATCTGAATCGGTGGTTTCTTAAACATTGTTTCTCACTTGTTGGCTCGGCTCAAATTTAATAACTCTTGAATACAAAGAAAAAAGTTCATGCACAGCCGCAATCTTACTTGGATGAAGGATCTTGGGGTTCTAATTTACAAACTGTTTATTACGGAAGTACGAGTCATTGTACTCAAAAGGACAAATTTTTTGTGCATCAGTCAACTCATGGTTTCTTTAAATACTCTGATTGAAAGAACGACTTTAATCACGGTTCTTTAACCTATTATGCTATGATCCTGGTCTTAACCAAAAAACCCAATCTCTCGAACACTCTTTTAGCTCAAAATTTGCCACATAAGAAGATCGAATTAAGGTTTGAGATGTTTGCTGCTAATTTTGTCTTGTGTTGAGCTCATGGGTTCAAGTAAAAAGGGTCAATGAGGCTTCGAAGCTACTGGTTCAAATGGTTGTTCATGGTTTTATTCCCTGTATTTGTACCGAGGTTCTGAATCTCCTATTCAGTTGTAACTTATAAGCATTTCGATTCAGGTCATGAGCTTTTCTATCAAATGCTCAAACGCAAAATTGGAGAATTGGATACTCAGAGCTTCAATATAGTGATGAGAGAGGATTGCAAAGATGGAAAATTTGCAGACGTGATCGAGCTTTTCCATCTGATGAGAGAGAAAGATAATACACAAGATCTCAACACTTATAATACTCTTGATTAATGGTTACTGCACAGTGGGTGACGGCGAGAGGGTTTGTGAGCTGGTGAAGCAAATGCTTGATATGAGAATTAAACCCGATAGTTACACCATTAATGTTCTCATCAAGGAGGTCAGATAGTGGAAATTGCTAAGAAATTTGTGTACACCCAACTGGTTCAGTCTCTATGTGAATATGGCTGCTGGTTAAAAACTTTGAAAATATTCAAGAAAATGGTTAGAAGAGGCCACCACCCTGATCAATTTCTATATACGAATTTATTTCAAAGGCCCTGTATAGGTGGTAGAACCAGAGTGGCCCTGCAACTTAGGTATTTAATGGCTGAGAAAGGGTATATAGAAGATATCAATAACTATAATACATTGATTAACAGAGCATGTACGGCTGGTAAAATGGAAATGGCTGAGAAGGTCTTTAGAGAAGTGGTGGATATTGGTGGCAAGCCTGATCTATGCACCCTGAACATAATCCTCAGAGGGCATTGTCTAAAGAGAAACATATCAGAAGCTAGGCTGGTTAGAGAAGATTCGAAAACTGGGCTGGAAGCCTGATAAAGAGTCATTCAGGGTTTTAATCAAAGTTCTTTCCATGAGAGAATGGTTGATAAGGCATTACAGTTGATGAATCAAATGATGGGGGTTTCAAATATTGATTCAGAAGTGTATTGTGTCTTGGTTGAGCACGTCTGCAAATTGGGTTCTATGGATCAAGCCACTGGCCTCTTGGATGAAATGAAAATGAGGGGAATTAGTCCCATTAAATCTGCTTATTATCCAGTGATTGTGGGGTTTTGTTAGATGAAAATTTGTGCAGAAGCTCTGAGTAGAATTAGAGAGATGGTGGCCACAGGGGTTGGCCCAGATATCCACACTTATAATTGTTTGATAGGTTCTCTTTGTGGCAGGAATAGATTAGAAGGGGCATTAATCTATGGGAAGATATGGCGAGAGATAGATGTTCTCCTGATGTTACTACTTGCTCTTTGGTAATTAGCAAGCATTGTGAAGATGGAGACATGAAGGAGGTAGATCCGAGGCAGATCGAATGACAGATGAGATGGTGGAATGTGGTCTGACAAAGCTATATTTAGCTCTTAGCCTCTTACCTCAATAATTATTTAGTGAAGAAAAGTTTCAGGTTGTACCTCTCTTTGATTTTTTTAATACATAATTGATCATCAACAAATAAGGAAAAAAATATCGAAGTTTGTCTGCTGTTATGCCCTTCATTGTAGATAGTGAACGAGATTTAGTTGTCTTGAGAACAGTTAAGCAAGCAGTGTTGTAGCTTTTTATAGAATTAGTAGCTGAATTGACATGTCGTGCATTTTATAACTTCACTGAGGGTATGGGCTTTAATAGAAAAAAATGACGGACCATGATTCGTTTAGCCGACCCCAATTAGTTGAGAAAAGACCTTGACGATGATGATTGACATGTGATGCTTTTGATTGTTTGATTCTTGGTTTAGCAGTTACGTTTAAGGGAGAAGTGCTACATTCAAGTAATTGGTCGTTCCTTTTCTATCTCGCATAAAAAAAAAAAATGAATCCTGGCTTTTGCCTTGATTCCCTCAGGATTCCCTTAGAGCTGATATGTGCTTGTATTGTATATCGAATCCTTGATTTCAGTTTTACTTTGTGTATTCTTTGTGCATACAGTTGCCTTAAACATTAGGTTAGGTTGCTTCAATTGTTTTCCATTTAAATTATTCTCGATGAACTGAATCCACTTTTCCTCAATAAAGACCTCCTTCCCCTAGTGTTTTTATTTTCACTTTTCCATCATTATACCTTGCCATTTACATTTACCAGATTTAATCAGTTGTGCATCTCCCTCCCTCTTGATACTCTTTATCTTAATATCTTCTATGTTTAAATACGTTCTGAAAGTCCAGAACTTTTCAGGTCCAAGACTGAGTGGCCAACTACCCTCTAGCTGCATTATGGGATTATCTCAAGCATTTATATCAGAAGTTACACTCATTTTGTAGCATAAGATGAGTGGATGTTCCTCTTTTTATCCAGTTTCGTTTGGGTTTGTGAGAATGGTTTGTGACAAACATTCATATATGCATGAATGGTTCAGTTTATTGTCTGGCATTGGAAGAATACAAACATCCATATATGGATGAATGGGATGAATGAAATCCTTCTAGTCATATACTCACAGAGCCAATCACTACACAGTCGCACTCATATACAAGTGGTTCCATGAACTTTTAAACATTGAGCAGTTTAATGTTTCTTGTCTGAAGCATGAAAAGTCATGATTGCACACAATACATTGTGGGATGCCCAAAACCTGGAAGAGGATCTCTCTCTCTTCTGGGGTGCCCTAAAACTAGAAAATATAGGGTATAAGAGCCTTTCTCTCTCTAGGGAAGTCCTTGAAGTGAGCGAGGTACCATTTCCTTGTAGCATAGCTTCTTCCCATCAAATAACTAATGGTGCCCAATGTGAAGGCCAATGCATAGAGTGTTTGAGCAATGAAGGTAACCCCCACAAAGCCTAGTATTTCAAAGAGATAGTGTGGGCAAACTGCAAGGCCAAACAGTCCACCACTAGGGATCTTGTAGCCATCACTTTGGTTCTTTCTGAGCTTTGACAGGAGATAGTGGTGGTAAAAGTTACCAGTGATTCCCAACAAAAAGAGAGGAACACCAATGTACTTCAAATCGAGGGCAGGTTCGGGGTGGCCGGGGGTGAGGGATTGAGAGTAGATCATGGTGACTGAGGAGAGGAAGTAGCTGAGAGAGATGAGGAAGCTTGTGTCCAGCATCATGCCTCCACTGTACCGATGAACAAACAGTACCTAGAAAGAGACAATGGCCTCATGTTAGTTAAAGAGTGACACAATGTGTTGATCTGTCTGTGTGTGTGTGTGAGAGAGAGAGATGAATTGTATGAATGAGAGAGAGGATGTCCCATTAACTTAAGGATTTATATACTATGACCGTTTACTTTTGGTACAAAAAAGTTACAATTGTTCTTAGACATAAGATGTGATATTTAGTGGATTGAAATATGTCACAACATTCGAAATTTTTTATTTTGAACATTGTGCCTAGTAAATGACACATTTCCAACCACCTGATTTTACATTTAATGGTCAATCGTAATTGTGAACTCTTTATACCAAAAGTAAATATCTTATAGTACATATTTCCTTAATTGTGCGCACGTGTGGTTGATAGATAGATAATGCACGTTTGATAAATAGCTAGATTGATGTTGTGTTGTGGTGGGGGTGTGAGGGAGGAGAGAGCAGGCCCTAAGCTCGATTCCTAACATTAACACTAGAAGAAAGAGAGAGAGAGTAAGTGCGCGTGATAATGTATACATACTTCACGAGCCAGCATTACATGTAAATTTTTTTTTTTGTAAAAAGTGGTTTGGAGTCGGACTGAAATTTTGCACACATGTTGGACCCATCTAGGGGCTAAAAAAAATAATTATAAAAAATCATTTGCTCAGAAGTCATGGTCAATCTTGGCCCTCAAATGTGTCCGACCTTCTCAGCCATCTAAATCATGTCATCTCCTTCAATCTAGGCTGCCTAGCCTATATTGCTCTATAGGCCGGGCGACCTGTAAATATATTTATCTTATGTATCTAAGTGGGAGAGATGAACTACAGGACAGAACGAGAGGGGCCATGAATATTGTTCACGGATAAACCAGTGAGTGTGTGAGATAGAGATGAACTCTCCAAGAGAGGGAGAGGTAGCATGAAGATTGACCATGGATTAGCATGTGCACATTAGATCCCAAATAGCTTAAACTAGTTACAAATCTAAAGTTATAAATCACTATGAATCTCAAACACGCATATCAACATTGAAAATAATAAGAATGCATCAGCCATACAAAACTCTATTGAAATTAAGAAATCCTTTAGACAAGAGTTTTGGCCAAACCCTACCATGTAAAATGCATAGCTCTCATGACCATGCCGGACTACCTGGTTCAACCGGTCAAGTCAGACCGGGTGCCTTGGTCAATCTATCTAGAGAAAAGACTTGATGTGGTCAAAAGGATTTGGCTAGTGTGACCATCTGGTTTTGATTTTTGACAGGTTTGGTTTTGATTTTTGACAAGTTCGTTAAACAAATTTGTGAAATTTTTTTGTTACATATTTTTAAATTTTTATTTTATAAAAAAATTATTTAAAAGAAAGTATAGAAGGAGACCATTTGCTATGATACAAGGTGAGTCGGATCTGAAATTGGGTGACTGCAATTATTTCATTGACCAAGCACAATCTTCAAAATAAAGTTTCTCAAACTCTATGAAACTTCAAAGTAGATTGTTGTAAGTAATTGTGACAATCTCGTATCAAAGGTAAAGAATTTCATTGTATATAATCTTTTTTTCAATATATTTCATATTGATAAATTATTATTCCTATTTTCTTATGAAACCCATTTTTAATTAAACCGAGCCCAGTTAGTCTGATCTTGATGGTTAATTATGCCCACCTCTATAAAATTCACAAACTCAAATGTTGGCCAAATAATAACTAAAAACAAAAATAAAAAGAGAAAACCAAAAAGAAAAATGAAATCATAAAAACCGGTACTTACCTCGACGATTCTCTTGCAGAAATGAAGAGCCAGGGTGGAGCTCAATAACAACGGCCGCAGTTGCCACTCGATGAAGCCAAAGGAAACCATGGAAGCAACAAATGCGGGCGTGTACACCGTGAGCATCCCTTTGGTACTGCTTATTGAATTCTCTTTCTTCAGATTCTTTTCCGGATTCGATCTCCAGAATTTGGAGTAATTCAGATGCTTGCCTCTGATCTCTCCAAATCCGATCGCACACAGAGAGATGACGCCAATAAAAGACATTGCGTTGACGAACAATGAAGATGGGGGTGGAAAGAGAAATTTACGGAAGAGAGACATTGCACGTTCAGGCAAAAAAAAACTGTGACTTCCGGTAGGGTTTCTGAATTTTCCGTCGGTTCTATGAATTTTTTTCTGCATATGAAGTAGTTATAAGTTAGATTTCACGGTGATTGTATAGCCACGTATATAGATTGAAGTCAACTTATCCCAGGGCTCACAAGTAGAGGTGGGTGCGTTTTCAATCCCCTTTTTGGGGGCCCGAATTCATGATATAAAGTTCAGTGTCTCTCTCTCTTATTAGTTTATCATCCTAGGTCTAAAACTCGTATAGGCAGGTGCCAACCATTTGGAAATCCAGTTTGGATCGACAAATGGCCAGTCCAAATCAGCGAAACAGTCTGATTCTTGGTTCAATAATTGGTCCGATAAAATTTAAAAAAAAAACCCAATAGAAATATAATGCATGAGAATTGGGTTATTCAGTCGGGTAAAGATTGCTTGGTTCTTGATAGGTTTGCCCATTTTTGTGTGATAATTCCCTGGAAGTATTAGACTGATTCCTAGTTCCAACCAATTGGGTCGGCATTTCCTCATCCGAATCACTGGTTTCTTAGACATTGATTCTCATAGCCTGCTCTGTTTTCCTTTTCTATTATTGGGGCAATTGTTTTCCTTTTTTATTATTGTGTATGCTTGTACTTATAATTTCAAAATTTTAATTAAACCTTGTTAATATTAAGAAAAAAGAAAAAGAAATTGCAATTCAAGAAGGATCTTGGGGTTCTACTTTAGCAGAACCAGTGATTCAAAAGTCGCTAAGTCGAATCGGACTCGTCCGATTTGATTGTGGAACCGGTATTTGTCTGATTCGGTTCGGAAATCGGCACACAAACTCACCAGACTCATCCGATTGGGGAACCGGTATTTGTTTGATTTGACTAAGGAACCGGCACACAAATACCGAAAATCGCATCCGAACCGGCACACAAATACCAAAAATCGCATTGGAACCGGTACACAAATATCGAAAATCGCCTGGTTCTAAAAAAAATCCGACGATTCCATGCCGTAAATCGCCATGTGACGTCATGAATCTCCTGATGTCATGGTACGCCCGATTCTTCAACAATGGGTATTTTTATAAATTTTAAAAATTACAATGGGTATTTTCCTATGGTCCGTGCACCTTGCCACGTGGCTCTCCTTACTGCGCATGCGTTATCCTCATTAGGTACAAAGATGTATTTATTCACTACAACTTTCTTTTACCTCTTCGATGTGGGATAATGTGAAAATGTATTAACTTAAAACATTAATAAATTATATATTTTGTTTGCACGTTTAATACCATTAAGTTGCATGTGGCATAGTGGTTATCAAATGCTTTTTGCGTGTGGAGAGCGTTAGTTCGAATCCTCTCTCGGGAAGAAATGTTGTTTTTTTATTTTTTTTTGTCAATTTATTTTCTTATAAAAAAAGATGAAAGGTTTTTTTTTTATCAATTTCTCTTTTTGTAAAAAAAATTTATTATCAACAAAATGAAAATTTTTTTTATCAATTTCTCTTTTTGTCAAATTTTTTTCTTATCAATAAAATAAAAAGTTTCTTATAAAAAAAAATGAAAGGTTCTTATCAATTATTTTTCTTGTCAAATTTTTTTTTTTGACGTCAAATTTTTTTCTTATAAAAAAAATAAAAGGTTTTTTTATCAATTTCGCTTTTTGTCAAGTTTTTTTCTTATAAAAAAAATGAAAGGTTTTTTTATCAATTTCGCTGTTTGTCAAATTTTTTTCTTATCAATTAAATAAAATTTTTCTTATAAATTAGTTTTCTTATAAAAGGTTCTTATCAATTATTTTCTTGTCAAATTTCTTTTTTTTGTTAAAAAAATAAAAGGTTTTTGTCAAAAAAATAAAAAAGTTATTGTAAAAAAAAAAAGTGCTTATTAAAAAAATAATAATACAACAAGTATTTTTTGTAAAAAAAAAGGTTCTTGCTAAAAGCAAAAAAAAAATGTAATACGAGAAACATTTCTTGTAAAAAAATAAAAGGTTTTTGTCAAAAAAACTAAAAGGTTCTTATCAAAAAACCATTTTTTATTATAGTCCATGTATGATTATATACTTCATCCATGATAGTTCCATTATTTTTATTTTGTGTGATGTAATTTACTGGTTAAAATAAGTTCATACAGAAAAAAAATATCTCAATATTCACATATTGATGAAAAAAATGAAATTTAATAATTTAGTACCTCGATTTCTTATTGGATTCCTAAAAAAAAACATTTATAAATGAATTTTAATAATTTTTTTAGATTTTTTTTAAAGCTTAATCCGACCGATTTGGCCGATTCTCTATCCGGATCGTCGATCCACCAATTCGGATGGGTCTTTGGGGTGTCCGATCTGGGCCACCGATCCGTTTTTTAAACCACTGTTACGAACTGTTTATTACAGAAGTACAACATGAGCCTTCAGACAAATTTTGGTGCGTCAGTCAATGATGTTGTGTCAGCCTTCTTTTTCGAGAGTTTTGATCAATGGTTTAAAAAGCGAATTGGTGAGCCGGATCGGGCACCTCAAAAATCGATCCGGATCGGCGAATGGGACATCCGGATCAGGAATCGGCTAAATCGGTCGGATTAATGCTTCAAGAAAATCCGAAAAAATTATTAAAATTCATTATAAATGTTGTTTTTTAGGAATCCAATAAAAAATGAGGGTACTGCATTATTAACTTTCATTTTTTTTTATCAATTTGTGAATATTGAGATGCTCTTTCCTTGTATAAACTTATTTTAACTATTAAATTTGCATCACATAAAAGAAAAATCATAGAATTATCATGGATAAAATATATAATTATATATGGACTATTATAAAGAGTAGACTAATCAATGAAAGAATGACCATTAAAATCTCATTTTGGCGAAAAACCTTAATCCGCTAAAAAAACCCAAACTATTACAGCCTAACTAACTATAATCCAAAATTATTACAACCTCACTAATTATAATATTATATACTGAAATTATAATTATTAGTTTATATTTTATAATTATTTTATTAGACAAATAATAACAAATTAAAAATATTTTATAATATTATCTAATTTAAAATGTATTATTGAGAACTGTAAGAAAAATAGTACATTACATGATTTGTAATGTAAAAATTCATAAATAAAATAAAATATTTGGTTATCAATGTAAAAATTAATAAAATGCGTACAAATTTTAGAAATAACACTTCAATTTTTCAAAATTTATTTTTTTAGGTTTCTATAATTAATTTAGTAAAAGTGATTGTTAGTAGAAAGATGGAGATTTCAAATAGAATAAACTTTTTATTTTTATTTTTTTATACCTTTCATATTATTTACAAAAATAATTATACCACTATATACAACAAAAATTAACTGTTATGTAAAAAATTAATTTTTTTATTTTTCATTTTTTTATATCTTTGATATTATTTACAAAAATATTTATATTTATACCAACCACTATATGCACAAAAAAAAAAATTATATTTATACGAATGCAACACATGCCCAAGGCGATTCGACCTCGAGATATCAAGTAAAAAACAAAAGTCATAACCCCCAAGCCATCTAACTACATGTAATTATAAATTAGTGGTAGTAATTATATTATAATTTTACTAATTTCGTTTTTACACTTTTTAAATTGAATTGTTTTGGTAAAGTTAATTA